GGAACAAGTGCACTCGACTGGCTTTATTGTACAACAGAACGTATTTACATAAATAGGGGAAAGGTTGGTCAGGAGGTGAATGAATATGAGGCATCTTGAAGGGAAGCTGGTGGCTTAAATATCCCAAACTCGCCTGGCTGCTGAGCCTGGAGGGAGGAGAAAAAGCAGGGCTGCGATTTTGACCTTGTTTTTTTTCCCTCTTCCGACAGTGTTTTCAGACGCTACCGCTGCCCACAGTGAGCAGGACTTGTGCCGAGAGGAGAAGGAAATCTCTGCAAGGTAAGCTGAGCTTTTTAAAGGCTTTCTCCTTCTTGCATTGCTTTCTGAAAGTGGTGATAGAGGTGGTGACCCTGCACCAGAGAGCACAGGGGCTCCCATCACCCCGTGTTTTTCCCTGCCTGCAGCCTTCCCTCATTACCCGTCACCAGTGGGAACAATGGCGATTTTCTGTGCTTAATTTCTGCCCTGTTTTAGTAGTATGGCAAAAGGCAGTGAGTGCTCTGGGGAGGGCTCCCCGGCAGCCCTGCTCCCACAGACAAGATTTATCGGTCGCATAAAGTGTTTATGAACAAGCTGTGCTGAGATTAAGGATTTTTCTATGAAATGTTAATTAAACAAATAACAGCGTGTTGTTGAGGCTTGAAGATGGAAATGAGGTTTAGCTTTGTTAAGGAGATGGAAATATTTACAGTATTCCTTAAATTTCAGTTTTTTTCCCTGGGGGGGAAGAGGGCGAATCTGGCTGATGCTGCAGAGGTTCTGTAAACTGTTTCTGTTGGTTGTGTGTAACATGGGGATTCAATGTGATCCAGTGTGATGTGTGTGGGGGCAGGAGGCTGTGACTGTGGTGATTCTGCTCCTGTTTCATGGCATAACATACCACACACCACCAGGAGTCTTGCAGGAAGCAGGAATAAATCTGCCTGTCCTGGCACAGAGGAATGTGGAGGTGGTGATGGGGGGGGTGGCTGGTGGGAGAGCAGGCATTGAGGATGTTTCATTTTATAAATGTGGGGCGAAAGTGCTAGTGCCGAGGAAAGAG